GAATCAAAGTACTTGAGGATGGAAGGACCTCTTGAGATAGTCTCATCCAGTCCCCCTACTCAAAGCAGGGGCAGCTGGAGCAGGTTGCCCAGGACCACGTCCAGGCATATTCTGAATATCTCCAGGGATGGAGACTGCACAGCCACTCTGGTCAACCTGTTGCAGCTTTTTACCACCCTCACTGTAAAATAAGTCACAGTTTATCACTTTTGGTTTTGTGAACATGATCTTATGTTCAGATGGAATTTAATTTATTTCCATTTATACCACATGGCTGTTTGTCCTTTCAGTGGGCACCACTGAGAAGAGTCTTGCTCCATCTTCTTCGTTTGCTTCCGCTGGGTATTTATACACGTTGGTGAGATCACTCTGGAGCCTTCTGTTCTCCAGGCTGAACAGCCCCAGCTCTCAGCCTCTCCACGTAGGTCAGATGCTGCAATCCCTTGATCACCTTTGTGGCCTCACACTCAACTTGCTCCAGTATTTCCCTGTCTCTCTGATACTGGGGAGCCCAGAAGTGAACCCAGCACCTCAGAAGTATCTCACCAGGGCTGAGTGGAGGGGAAGGATCACCTCCCTTGACCTGCTGGCAGTGCTTTTCCCAGTGCAGCCCACGAGGTTGTTGGCCCAAGGGCACATTGCTGGCTTGTCTTCAGCTTTTTGTCCAGCAGGACCCCAGGTGCTTCTCAGCCAAGCTGCTTTCCATCTGGTCACCTGCCCCCCGCCACCCCAGTGTGTACTGGTGCCTGGAGTTATTCCTCCCCAGGTGCAGGCCTTTGCATTTCCTTTGATTGATCTTCATGAGGTTCCTGTTTGCCCATTTTTCCAGCCTGTCAAATTCTGTCTGAATGTCAGCGCACCCATCTGGTGTATCAGTCCCTCCTCCCAGTTTTGTGTCATCTCTAATCTTGATGAGAGTGCACACTGTCCCGATGTTCTGGTCATTAATAAAGATGTTAGAGAGCATAGGACCTAGTATTGACTCCTGGAGTGTACCACTAGTAACTGGCCTCCAGCTGGACTTTGTGCCATTGGCCAAAGTCATCTGGGCCCAACCATTCAGCTGGTTTTCAGTCCATTTTGCTGTACACTTATGTAATCCATGCTTCATCTGCTTGTCTACAAGGATGTCACAGGAGACAGTGTCAAAAAGCTTCCTGAAGTTGAGATAAACATCCATTGCTCCCCCCTCATCTGCCAAGCTAGTAATCTCTTCATAGAAGACCGTCAGGCTGGTTAAGCAACATTTCCATTTCATAGTTCCATTCTGACTAGTTCTTGTCACCTTCTTGTCCTTCATGTGTCTGGAAGTGGTTGCCAGGACTAGTTGCTTCATCAGCTTCTGTGGGATTGAGATGAAGTGGACTAGCCTGTAGTTCCCCAGATACTCTCTTTTGTCCTCTTGAAGATATGAGTGCCGTTTGCTCTCTTCCAGTCTTCGTAAACCTCTCCCAATAGCCAGGACTTTTCAAGAATAAGCAAGAGTGCCATAACAGTAACATCAACCAGCTCCCTTAGCAGTTGGTGCATCCCTTGAGGCCCCATGGTCTTGTGCATCTCCAGTGTGTTTAGGTGCTCCCTAACCTGATTGTCCTCCACTGATGGTAAGGCAGACTTGCTCCAGGTTTTAGTTTCATGGGCATGGGATTCCTGAAAACTGGTCTTACCAGTAAAAACTGACACAAAGAAGGCATTGAGTACCTTGGCCCCTTCTGTATCCTTTGTCACCAAGGCCCCTGCCCCATTCAGCAGTTGTCCATGTTTTCCCTAGTCTTCCTTTTGCTGTTTGTGTACTTGTGGAATCTTTCTTGTTGCCCTTCACATCACTCGCCAGATTTAACACCAGGTGAGCTTTGGCTTTCCTGACCTCATACCTGCAGAACTGACTGGTATCTCTATGTTCCTCTTGTGTTATCTGCTGCTGCTTTCACTCAGATGCTTTCTCTTCATGTCTGAGTCGGATCAGGAGCTCCTTGTTCATCCATGCAGGCTTCCTGCTGCATTTGCTTGATTTTCTACTTGTAAGGTTGGACCATTCTTCAGCTTAGAGGAGATGGTCCTTGAGTATCAACCAGCTTTCTTGGGCCCCTCTTCTCTTCAGGGCTGTATCCCACTGGACTCTTCCAAGCAAATCCCTGGAAAGGCTAAAGCCTGCTCTCCGGAAGTTCAGGGTTGTGTTACTGCTTTCTGCACTGCTGTCTCGCAGGATCTTGAATTTCACCATCTCATGCCATTGCAGCCAAGGCCCCAGTCTTCACATCCCCAACTGGTCCCTCCTTGGTGTAAGTATCAGATCCAGCCAAGCACCTCTCCTTGTTTGCTTCTCAATAACCTGTGTCAGGAGGTTGTCATCAATGCACTCGAGAACCTTCCTGGATTGCTTGTGCCCTGCTGTGTTGTCCTGCCAGCAGGTATCACAATGGTTAAAGTCCCCCATAAGGACTAGGGCTTCTGAATGTTAGGCTTCTTCCAGTTGTCTGAAGAAGCCTTCTCCACTTTTTTTCTTTTTTATCCTGATCCTGGCAATCTGTAGCAGATAGCCATGGATTATTGGAGGAAAAGATTTGTTCTGGTTGCAGTTGGTTTTGCTGATGTCCATATTTATGTCTCTAATGTGGATCACTACGGAAGCTAAAGTATAGAGCAGTTGAACAACAGGGTTAATGAAG